TTTTAAAGTATTGAGTAAAAGTCTTAAAAGTATCTGGATATTTTTTGTACTTAAGTATCAAAAGTAAATTTCTGACACAAAATCTACTTAAGTAATAAAAGTAAAAGTACTGAGTAAAAGTGAGCAGTTAGATTTTCCAGAATGACATTTATTGGGAGGTGACTTCTCCAAAATATATTTCCTAACAGCGTGCAGCTGTGATGGGTTGTGTACAAGTTAATAAAGGTCAGAATATTTATACTTCTCATCCAACTACAATTAAATTCACTCTATGCAGGAGACACTATTTATCAGGATAGTTTTTTAAAGTAATAACCCAGAATAAAATAGGAGTAACGACTTTCTACTTCTTACCTTTTTAAAAAATGTAGAGTAGAATGTACAGATAATTGTATAAAAATGTAATGAGTTAAAGTAAAAGGTAGGCTGAAAAATAATTACTCAAGTAAAGTACAGATAACCAAAGTTTCTACTTAAGTACAGTAACAAAGTATTTGTACTTAGTTACTTTACAACGCCGCCTGGGGGCAACTTAACCTTACAAACATGACGTCATGATTTTGCTCTCAGAGCTGCTTGTGAAGCATCAGGTTTGTCATTCTAACGTTTGTCCAGCAGGTGGAGCAGTTTGTTCACTTATTAACTGAAACACGGGGTTCTGGGGCCTGTGAAACATGTTTGATTCTCTTAAAAACTTCTAATAAAAACTTCTTGACCTGTTTTTCCATTTAAAAAGTGAGAATAAACCAACAGTTGATGAGGATGTTTGTTGCATCTCGACGATCTTGTTTTTATGTCTGAACAAACCGAAGCTCTTCAGGGTTTCAGGTCTCTGTTCAGGTCCCGAGTCAAAACCTGAAAAAAAAATTTAATCCCAGCAAAGAACTCATCTGATTTACAGAAAATATGTTTCCAGACAAACAGAAGGTTTAGAGAGAAAATGTTAATTTAAATTAACTTTATCTAATGCTAATGTAATAGTAATTGTAATGCTAATTTTATTTTTTGCCTATTCTTGTTCAACTTCTGCTCATTTTAACATTGAATCTAATAATAGTCCTGTTAATGTTCATTTTACTTCTGGTAGCCATTTTTATTTTGCTTTTTTAGTTTCCATTATGTTGTTTTTACTTTAAAATATGGATTTCAGCTTCTTCAGCAGTCGTTATAACTCAGCTCTCAGGCTAAATATTCTCCAGTTACAGTTATTTTTGTTCTCACGGGGACCAGATTTTTTACCTTCTGGGGGCCACTTTCAGCCCGCAGGCCACACATTGCCTATTTGTTCTAAAAGTTCTAAAATCAGAAACTCTGGAATAAAAAAACTGATCTATAAAACCTTAAACTCAAGACTTGATGAAATAAACATGTTCAGGTTTTATTATAATCAATGTAAAAAAAAATACAAATTCAGATTTTTCTTTTGGAAAATATGAAAAAAAAAACTTTAAATATATATTTAAACTCCAGTTTGTTTGTTTGTTTGTTTGTTTGTTTTTTCAAACTAATTCACCAAATTCTTTGTTTCAAACGTGAAAGGTCCAGTCCTGGATCAGCACCAGGGACAGGTCCAGCACCAGGGACAGGTCCAGCACCAGGGACAGGTCCAGCACCAGGGACAGGTCCAGCACCAGGGACAGGTCCAGAGGAAGGAAACTGATCTTTTCTGAAACTTGAAAGGTTCAGGAGATGTTTTTGCTAACGGATCAGAACCTCCTCAGCTGTTCTGTCTCGGTTCGGTTCGGAGCCATTGTTCTCCTGTAGAGTCAGAGGGCGTCGGCACCGAGTCCACTGAGGACTGACGCGCCTTTGTGTCCAAACAGAACCCAGAAACCGCGCCCTGTGTGGACCGGGTGAGGCTGCAGGAACCGGAGTCAAACCGGATCAGAACCAGGTGAGGAGCAACAGATGAGATAAAGGAAAGAACGGGGCGGGTCTGCAGAGGTTCTGACAGGACTCGGATCGAACCGAGCCGACAGGAGGGGACGCGGGCGGACATGTCCTCCGGTGAACTGGACTCCCGGTTCGGTTCTGCAGCAGCGGAGCCGCCGCAGCGGATCACACCTGAGAACTGCTACGAGCTGCTGACCCGAGCCAAGCGGGACGGTTCGGAGGGAGACCGGGACCGGATCCTCCGCTACATGAGCGACCACTACCTGCAGGTTCTGCAGAGTCCGGCCCTGTTCGGCCGGCTCACGGCGCGGGAGAGGGACCAGATCCTGGTCCAGAGGATGGAGGGGAGGAAGGTTCTGGCTGCGGCGGAAACCTGCGAGGTGCCGGACCGCGGGGGGAACCGGGACAGCCCGCAGCGGGCCGAACCGGAGGACTCCACCCGGCGGCGGGTGTTCTGCCTGGACCCGGACTCGCAGCGCTGGGAGGTTCTGACCGTCCTGCCCGAGGAGGTTCCGGCTAAAGGTTCGGGCATGTGCACCCTCTACAACTACCTGTTCGTGGCGGGCGGGCTGAGCCGGTCCAAAGCGTCGGACCGGGTGTTCTGCTTCAACCCCAGGACCGGACTCTGGAGCCGGGTCCGCTCTCTGACCGAGCCGCGGTGCCAGCTGCGGCTCGTGTCCGTGGACGGCTTCCTGTACGCGGTGGGCGGGGAGTGTCTGTTCACCGTGGAGCGCTACGACCCGCGCGCGGACAGGTGGAGCCACGTGGCCCCGCTGCCCAAAGGCGCGTTCGCGGTGGCGCACGAGGCCGCGTCGTGCGCGGGCCAGCTGTTCGTGTCCGGCGGCTCCCTGTTCTACCGGCTGCTGCGGTTCGACTCCCGCCGGGACGAGTGGGAGGAGAGTCCGTTCAACGAGAGCCGCCGCCGCTCCACCGACATGGTGGCGCACCGGAACCTGGTCTTCCGCTTCGACGTGGACCGGGAGCGCGCGGCGGTCAGCGTGCACCGCTACAGCACGGTGCTGAAGGCGTGGTTCGGCGGAGCCTCGTTCCCGGTGGAGAACCCGCAGCCGTTCCGCTGCGCCGTGCTGGGCGACCGGATCTACTGCGTCAACCGGAACCACGTGCTGCAGTTCGAGGTGCTGGAGGAGCGCGAGGGCTTCCTGCCCGAGGTTCTGCCCGCGCCCGCCGAGGCCAGAGGAACCCTGGTGCCGTTTGTCCTCACGCTGGACCGGGACAAGTGACCCGGAGCGGAGGTGGGAGCTTCATGCTGTGGGACAGAAAACTGCTCAGAGGGATGCATGTCTCCTCCTCTGAAGGCAGGACAATTATAA